ATATATATATATATATATATATATATATAACTATGTCATTAAGTAAATCTTTTAAATTTTATCTGCCTTCAAATTCTATATTACAAATGGTAAATCTTTCCAAAGCAAAATAAAATATCATCATTATATTACAAATGGTAAGTAATAAGATCAATTGTTGAAGGAAACAATAATTTTATGAAAGAGAAAAAGTCATGTCAATAGTTTATGAATCCATTTATCGACATAACTTTCTTAGTTATTTTGTTTCTATTTTTCACTTTTTAATATTGTTATTGAAATTTTCTTTTTTTAATTTGTTATTTAATATTAGTCATATCATCTTTTTGTTTTTTTTTTGTTTGCATTTTTTGTTATTGTTTTAAGTAATTTTCATAATTAACAAACAATTTATTCTGTAAATCACATCAAAAAAGAAAAACCATCTTTTATCAAAGACCATCCTAACATAAACATATCATAAATAATTATTTTTTTTAACTTTTTATTCCAAACTGAAACTACATACTTAGCAAATTTCAATCTTTTTTCTAAAGGAAACATAAAAATGCATTAGCACTTTAGACTCTCAACAAATACAAGTATAAATAAGCACACCGAGCATAAATACGCTTTGTGTGGTTGCTTAGTTTTATATCATTCGCTACATATAGTAATACATCAATTAAATATATATTTTTACTATATAAAACAAGTATATGGTTTTTTTTGTTGTTTATTTTTGAGGCAAATTTATCAGCAACGCATTATATGTACAGTTCAACGGATTACTTGTCTTGCCTTGTTGGACACTGTTTATGGGGTCCATCTTTCAACCCAAATCATGAAACAGGTATACTAATCCGGTGACGATCAATTTATATTAAACCGACACTGCCCTTCATCAATATATTTAATATAAGAGATCCAATCCAACAAGTAATGGGCACGTATCTTAAAGTCAATCATTCTCTTCTCCCCCCACCCCCATCCCCAAACCCTTGCTGCCGCCGCTAGAGAAGTCGCACATCGGCGGCGAGGGAGGAGACACCGAAGCTGCCGTTGCAGGATAGTGGTAAGCGGAAGAGGAGCGGTTTCGACTGTAATAGTAGCAGTAGCAGCAGTAGGAGGAGGAGAAGGAAGAGGAAGCAAGGAGAGAAAGAGAGCGAGAGAGAGGGCGGAGGCCGTGATGGCGTCATCGGGAATGGAGGCAGCTGTGGACGGGCCAGTGCAGAACCTGATGAGCAAGCGCCTTCGGGCCCTGCGCAAGAAGTACAACCGCATCCTGCAGATGGAGGAGAGCCTCGCGCAGGGCAAGCCCCTCAACAAGGAGCAGGAGGAGGTCCTCCGCTCTAAGCCCGCCATCACCGTTCTCATTGATGAGTACGAGAAGCTCCGCCAACCCCTCGCCGTCGCCGTCCAAGAGGAGCTCGCACGCGCCGCCGCCGCCTCTCCACCTCCTCCCCCCGCTCCCCAAGAAGAACCCACTGCTGCCCCTTCCGCGGACGACGACAAGGAGGAGCTTGGTCCCGCCGTCGAGGACCTCTTGACCTTGCTCTACTTCGGCTGCCTGTTTGACGTCAAGCCGCAGAGCGAGTTTGCGGCGACGATGCTGACAAGGACCCACGAGCGTGGTTGCTGTTTGACGTACGACTACGTGACTGACGACGCCACCGATCTACTGGGGGAACAGGACCTCGACGCGATCTCAGCGATTGGCTCCCTCGTCACCTCGCGGCCGGTCTACTCTGGGATCTCGCACAAGAACGCCCTCCAGGTCTGCCTCCAGCATGCGAAGCTTTGGCTGCTGAACGTTGATCAGCCCATTCATCCGGGTTCTTCGGTTACCTGTTAGTGCTCGTAAATGGATGATCATTTGGCGTTCTTCTCCCTTTGTTTTTGGTTTTGACTCTTATGTTATGAATTGTAGATGCTGGAATGAGGGAGAAGTTGAACAAGATTCTGGCTTCAGACTATTTCACCACTACGCCGGAGATGAAAGCCCCTGGGGATGTGGCAGCAGCAGTGGGGAAATACGGCGCTGCTTGTCAGGTGCAGATCAGTGAGTCCACCACCATGCCTTCACCCATGGTTCAAACTGAAGATTCCTCTGTTCCAGTCGGTTATCAGCACAAGGTGAAGTTTCTGCCTTGCAGGAACTAATTTGCTCTTCTACCCATGTTGTTTGCAGTGTTATTTTTGTTCCTATATTTATCATTTGAGCACCTGGATTTCACGGTAAGTATGGCATTGGTTGGCCTTCACTAGTTAGTGTCATATGCTGACCTGACGGATGAATTAGACTCCTGAAAACTTCCATAAATGCCAGGTTGGTTGGTTCAGATATATGTTCCTGATGATCAAATTTCTGTTGAGGCAAGAAAAAGGACAGTAAATGCTTTTGCAGGGAAATTGAATGATTGTTGAATTTTTTGAACTCATAGAAGTTATTAAAGTATAACCTGCATTAATGAGGTAAGGTTTGACCCGGGTTTAATAAGTTAATTGATTCATCAACTTTGTTTGATCTAAACCACTGAACAAAATACTTTAGTTGAAGTTAACAATAGCATATCCATCAAACTCTTATAAGTCAATCTTAGTTTTATTCATTTCCGATATGAGATTAATCGAGGTGTTAGAGTAAATATGATTCCCACTGATGTAGTATTTTCAAGGATCAATGTAGGATTCCATGACTCGAAAACTAGTCACCTAGGTTCACTATGACACCCACTCTCGTTCCCCTAAAAGTAGAACCAAATATTTTTATTTGTTATTATTGAAATATATTATTTGTACTGTTTTTTTTTCATATTGCTACCTTTACAATTGTGAAAAGCAACAAAGTTGGTTCATATCGTACTGCAAGTATGCCCATAAGGAATACTGAAAATCTTAGGAAAGGTTTTCTTTTTTTTGGTGGAAACGTCATGAAGTAGCTTGAAGTTGCCTTACCAATATAATTCTTTAGAACAAATTGTATAAAGGAAAGCTAATGTTTACTACAACAATCTATCTTCTAAGAGTCAAATAATTATATTTTGCGATCCGTCCTTTTGTATTGGGACTATTATTAGTAAGCTTGGATCTATAGAGCCTCTTTATCAGGTTGTGACTGAACATCTCTTTCGTTAGTTGAAATTCCTTGCTGATTAACCTGTAGATTTTTACAGAAGTGTGATGAAAATTTTAGCAACTTAGATCAATGTGCCCCAGTTTTTGTATAGCTCTGCTACTGGTTGTACTTGATTCAGGATTAATTATCCTGCAGCTTACGTCTTCGTAAAAACAAAGAGAAAATGAACACTTCTTCAGGCCCTAAACACTTTAAATTGTAAACTCAAATGGCTCGATTATTTGTTGATCTGAGTGGGTTGTGGCTTTGGTGAGTTAATCTGCAACTCATTATTCACATTCCACCATTTTGTGGAAGACCAGATCCGACTTACCTGATACTACAACTAATATGACTATTTAAATATATAACTTTTGAAGATGAACAAAGATAATGTTTCAATTAAATAATTATTATTGTTAAATAAAAATTCTTGATATTTTAATAATTTTTATATATTTTGCTAAAATTATTTAACGTTATATGTGCATACGTATGTTCCACTGCTGTTGAATCTTGAGCTTTTTGATTTGAGCAGGTCTGAGATCATGTTGAGGAATCTTGTTAGCTGCTTCTGCTTAAGTAATGTACTTATAGTTTTGATACTGTTGCTGCAGCTTTTGTGACACCTTGCACTTCATTAGGAACCATATTTTGTTTTCATTTTTAACAATAGAACTTCCATCTGTTCTTTATGCCTTGAATCTAAGGTCTACAACGCACAGACCAAGTATCACAAGATGAAAACAGATAGAGAAACAAAGCAAAGCAAAAAGAAACACCAGCAACCACATGAACATAATCTTAAGTTATTGACCAAGTATTACAGAAAACAGAGAGAGAACAAAGCAAAATAAAAAGAAACACCGAAGCATACACATGAATATAATATTAATCAATTATTACAAAAGGAAAACAGAGATAGAGCAAGGCAAAACAAAAGAAACATTGAAGCAAACACATGTACAGAATACATATATTTAACTTTTTTCACCAATCTCCAAAGCAAACTATATGGGAAAAAATGAGGTACATCTATGCCCTGAGAGCTAAGATATAGGGAAAATTAGCTACATTCACAATGTACGAGTCTGGTGTAGGATAGGAAGGATCCAGATGAGCTGTTGATTGAATATTTATTCTTCTACCGATGTAAATTACTGGTCAAATTCAATGTGCACTCTGATTCTTGTAGACCAACTTTGGTGGTTAGGATCCCCCGTCAGTAGATATCTCTGTTTGTATCTTTGATTGATGTGCCTCAAAGGGCACTTTAGATTGTTGTGCTTTCTACATAGTAGTAGGATAGCAGGATGTGATGTTGTTTC